GTTCAGAGTATGTGATATCTTTGTACCTTCTGCTTTCTTGTTAAAAACCACAGCTGGGTCACTGTACGTTTATCTGATCTGCTGCCTTTCTTTCAAAGATAAGGAAACACAGCACTCAGTGTCCTAGAAGGAGTCCTTCTAGGTGAATTACATGTCAGTGGTTAGCTCTTACTGGACCTGGAAAATCCCCTTTCGTCCCCGTCTGTACCCACCAAACCCCAGCACCACTACAACATCCTGTGTGCACCTTCTTCCCTGTGACGCTGTGTGTTCATGTTCACACCTTGCTGACGCCACTTGTCTGCTGCCCGCAGGACTGTGCTGCTGATGAACCCCGGTGAGGTTCCTGCAGACTTTCTCTCAGTGGCTGAGCAGCTCAGTCGCATTCAGCACTCGCAGAAGGAGACCTACATCACCCTGATCAAGCACGCCTTCCAGTCCACATTAGGCACCAAGTACCCTCTGCAAAGCATCCACAGAGCCCTGCAGGTACGTGGTGCAACCAGTTGTTCCATGACTCTGCTTTAACCTCGTAAGACCTTGTTTGATATGCTTTTTAAAATTATTTCTCTTTGCTATTTGATCAGATCAAATAATTTAAATTAAAAAAAAACATTAAAAAATAAAAAAGGGATCCCTGTGGGGGCCGGCGACGAAGGAGGCGGGATCCCTGTGGGGGCCGGCGACGAAGGAGGCGGGATCCCTGTGGGGGCCGGCGACGAAGGAGGCGGGATCCCTGTGGGGGCTGGCGACAAAGGAGGCGGGATCCCTCTACAAAGGAGGCGGGGCCGGCGACAAAGGAGGCGGGATCCCTCGACGAAGGAGGCGGGGCCGACGACAAAGGAGGCGGGATCCCTCGACGAAGGAGGCGGGGCCGGCGACGAAGGAGGCGGGATCCCTCGACGAAGGAGGCGGGGCCGGCGACGAAGGAGGCGGGATCCCTCGACGAAGGAGGCGGGGCCGGCGACGAAGGAGGCGTGATCCCTCGACGAAGGAGGCGGGGCCGGCGACGAAGGAGGCG